TAAACAATGAAATCTGAAGACATAAAATGGCCTAGAACTAGAACAATACAATCATATAAGAACACTGAAACTGGCACTGCTGTTTTTGCTAAATCCTTTGGATTATAGCTTCCTTGATGTGCGGTTGGACCTGGAAATGAAAGTAGATAAGATGAAAATATGAGTCCAGAGCAAATAACAGCTATAGCTTTGGAAACAAATGAGCAACATTTTCCAGCTAAGGAATGGATGCATGTATCTACGGATGGCTCTCTGACCGATAGGATCCAGGTGGCTGGAGTTGGAGTTTTTAGCAAGCTTTTCAGTTTTTACATACCTATAGAGGTTTACTCCACACACTTTGATGGAGAACTGAAAGCCATTCATGTGGCTCTCCAACAATTATCATTGAGACAGAGATCATTCAGGAGGGACGTTGTACTGTGATTTGACTTCAGCAAACAGGCCATCTCCTCTTACTAAGAGTGTAAGAACATATGCGTTCAACAGTGTCAGGAAGTCATAAAAGAACTTTCCCACAAGATTTCTTTTCAATGGATGCCTTCACACTGCAGTTTTTATGGGAATGAGATGGGTGATATGCTTGCGAAAAAGGGGGCTACGGTTCTCCAAAAGCCAAAAACAAGTTCAAGCCTCCATTCTATTAAGCTTCTGACATCACTACCATGTCAAAAGATGTTTAGAGATTTTGCCAGTCGGGCTTATGATGGCAAGCCTTGGAGTGTTCTCTCAACAAACCCAGCTTTTGTTCCTGACGACCCAGGAACAGTTGCGGTTCCATCTTTTAAACTATTGATGAGGCATGACTGTCTACAGAATCATTTATTTCGCATTGGACTAGTTGATTCGCCGTTGTGTGTTTTATGTGATAGTGGAAGGTCAATGACGGCGAAACATTTGGACGAGTGTGAAACATTAACAAATCTTTTCTTGCAGATTTCAGCGCTACTGGCAAGCAAGACGTTTAATGGCCTAATGGCCAATGTAACTGGTATTTGACAAATGATTGACTCAAAACTCATAAAGTTCCTTACTTTGTTTATCTAGAATACAGATAAGAAAAATTCCTATATTCAAAAAAATGCATACAAAGCTGAATTGTTACAATGAAGAAAAATTATTTGATAACTGTTCATCCTTTTTGCTGCAGCTTTGTAAAAATTATGTTTTAGACATTAAAATATTTTGTAAGACAGTAACTATCAAAAATAATGTGTGACAATTTATATTATTAAATACAGCATTTCAATTCAAATTATCAAGAACAAAATATTTCCAAAAACACATCTTAAATTTGAGACCGTCGTGTCCAAGTCCTTTTTGTTTGCAAGTCAAAACCTTACTTCTGAACTTTTCATAAAAATATTATGGAACCTTTTGTATTTATCTTATTAAAACATAATGATTATGTCACTAACTGGAAGTTTACTTCTATAGTACCATGAAAAAAAGCTTATACTTACAGAATTCTTCCATCCTGTGTGCGGAAATTGTTTTTACTGTATTCTATTTCGAGAAATTCTATGATGGGAATGCCTAAGATCAATTTTTAAAGAATAGTCTGCAGCTAGTTTTCTAACCTTTTTTTTATGTACTGCCTCGAATATTTTTTTAAACAATGTCAATGAAAAGAATTATTAGTTCTGCTAATTTTTTTTCAGATAAAACAATATAGGTTATTCTAACGAGAATGATACTATGAAAATTTTCTGATAAATTACATATTTTATTATTTACATTGATGGATTATAAAGTTTAATAAATAAGATATTCATAGATTATACACTATCAGCTGTCCATTATACACTGTAAACAGTCCATTATAAACTGTTCAACATATCACATTATATGACTAGAAATCTTATCTTGTTAAGTTCTGTAGGTTGAATGTGAATAAGATAATGCTATAATAGCAGTGCACATTGTACCAATTAACTGATTAATATCCTTAAAGGGTTGACTCTCTATGGGTATCATCAATATATAATCTAATGAAGCTTTGCAGCATGTTGTCAATAAGTGATTTAAGGGTTAATCCTCGATTAAACATGTAAGTGATAGTTGTCCTGTACAACACAAACAAACACACTGCCTAATGCAGACTTAGGTGATCATTAGCCTACCAGTGCCAATGCATGTAAGACTGCTGAGCATAGGTACTTCATCCTGGAATTGGTTACTGACAAACATGAAGTTTTCATGACTTTTCTGACGTGTAATATCAGCATAAACAAGTTTCCCTCAGAATGTCATCCACAAAGGCATCCCTCCTAAGCTAGCACTGTGCACTTACTGATAACAGATGATTAGAATTCACACATAAGAACAGGCTCTACATACATTCTGAGTAGGGTAAATTTGATTGTAGCTGCTCTGTATGTTAAAATGCAATTATTAGATTTAAAGTCAAAGATGTAATCTTTGATTGTTATATTTCTAAATTTGTATTCTTTTATTAACCATATGTATTCATTTCTCTAGAAATCACCAATTTGTCTGTCATCTTAAATTTTTTAAATTACATAATGTTCATACCAATTATTAATCATACCAATTATCAAATTATCATATTATTATACCAATTATCAAAATTACATAACATAATGTTCAAACCAAATTGAACATTTCTGCTCTCAGACTGTAGTTTTCTGTTATGCATTATGCTGTTTATAAGAAATAAATTTTATCTAATTATTTAATTTTAAAATAGATGATGAGGAAGTATTATTTATTAGCATTTCTTCAAGTATCCATTTCCCTACCTAATTAAACAGAAGTTATTATTTCACTTAACTTGTTGGCATCATTGTATTATTCTAGCTATTTTAGCAACATGTATATACTATGCATATATTATACACATATGTTCTTGCATTCAATCTAAAATAGGATTAATACAAATGGTAGAGACATTTGTCTGATGGTAGGAAATGCATTCCTACAGACATGAAAAATATTCATAAAAAAATGAGTTCTATAGATAATGAAACTCAGCGGTACCTACTTAAAGCAGTCAGGTAATTAAAGTCTGAGAATTCAGAAGTTTCACCCTACAGATTTTTTGTGATTATATTTGTCAGTTTTGGCAACTAACTGTGGCAGCCACTTTAATAAGTAAGTACCACTTCTGTAAATGACAGCTATATGAAAGCTCTCATGAATTTATTCTTTAGATTACTTTACATTTGTACAAGAATTAATAATATCACCAAATTGTTTCTTATGGAATTAAATACAAAGATGTAAGATGTAATGTGCTATATCTTTTAAACACCAATGGATTACCATGATTGTGAAAAACCAGATACATGAAGTCACTAGTTTTTTAAAAATAATTTTTCCATGATTTATGTCATCAGATTTTTATTCCATAAGAACATAAATCTGTATATTTGTCAATTCTAATAACTACATTATTATTTTTAAAGCTATATTCGTATACAGTGCTCACATCTGAACTTGATTAATCACATCTGAATTAGCCAAAATCTCTCTTAAAGACAGGTGGTTAAGCTAAATTTTAACTGGATTATTTTTCAAGCTTTTAGCTATGAAACTTAAGGTAAATTCACAAGGTACAACAGGTTATTAAAAAATAATGCAGAAATCAGTCTCTTTCAATATCTTCTTTGAATCTATCAGCCTTTGCTTTATGTAGATGTATCAAATAATCATTATTTAAACAATTTTCTTAATTTTTTGTAAAAGGTGGACAATAGCTACTTTTTCAGTATAATACATACACTACATTATATAAATCTACTCTCATGTAAATTTTACAATTAATCATTTGCAAATATTAAAAATTAACTTTTTATTTCTAAATCAATTATTTATAAACATATTCCTTTTCAGCAACTGAACATTAATGTTATTCAATAAATGACTGGGTTCTAATCAAACTTGTTCTGATGATTGCAAAATGGCACAATGTGACAAATCAAAGGGAGTCCTGATTTAACCTATTGCAGAATGGCATAAAGTGGCAATGTAAATTCTGATTAAGCATATTACAAAGTGATAGTGAACCAAACCATGTGTTAAACCAAACTATGTGTTAAAACCAAACTATGTGTTATGAAGAATATGCACTTTTTTAATGATTGTCATACTCAATGTATGAACTTAACTGTTCGTTCAACCCTGACAGATGTAGTTTATGAAACATCTTATTTCTGTAAGAAACTGAAGACCACCATTCTTCTGAAGCTATCAAAAACCTTAATAAATATTCTCTTCCTCTGAAACATCAAATTATTAATATAATACCCCAAATTATGAAAAAGCAATATTTAACATAGGTATCATTTATGCAAATATACTTGATGATAATACATTATTTCATTATATACTCATCTAAATATATAATCAAGTAGAAGTTGATAAAAATTTTGTTCTCAGTACTGCCCCATTACATATTTTAATGGAGGAAAAAAATTCCATCCTCCTTAATGTAAAAATGATTCTTCCATCAAATGCCTTAGTGTAAATTATATACATTTTCTAAAGAAGTTTAACATAAAATTTTTAATTTTATTTTCTTCAACATATTTCATTCTGTTTTATGGTCTAACATGAATTTCATTGCAATGTTGTTTATTTCTGCAATTTCGCGCTTAATTTTTGGTAATGACATTAACGAAATCATGCATATATTTAGTTTATCTCAATTATTGAATTTAAATAAATAGTTTTAGACTTGCATTTGTTCAGGAAAAAAAAAAGAAACCTTGGTTAGGCAGTTTTTTTCTCTGCAATACAGCCTAATATTGCAGATCATACTAGCCCCTTCCACATCAACAAACCGCTGGAAAAATCCAGAAAGCGCACGAGCCAATAATGGTCTTTCAGCGCATGCGCATATCAAAAGCAGCTGAAACGTAAAAAGGCGTATTTCCGAACGGCACGTGTAGGAAATCGCCAATTTTCTATGCCAAAGAACTAGGTGTGCCTATATCAACTCTATGAATTTGGCGATATACTCTTGTATTGGCGCAAGCGATAATTCTAGAAATCCAGTATTCTTACACATAATGCGCTCTCCACGCTATACAAGAAAATACTAGAAAGCGTGCCGCTAGTATAAATATCGCGTTGGGTTGCCAGAGCGGCAGATTAGAAACAGAAAGTGCTGTCTGCGATATTTTCATTTTGATCTTTGTGCTCACTTTTGCGGTTCTGTGAGATTTGAAAATTTGGTGGCGTTTATTACGAGGTATCGTTGCTGAGAACTGTAAATATTGTTACTTGCGGATCTTTCGTGGGAATATCGTCGTTTGTTCAGTTAAGAGTGACTGTGAACCTTAAGCAATGGCTTTGAGTGCCCTTGTTCCAGCTCTTCTTGGACGAGACTGGTGGGATACATGGGATTATCCTAACCGAATCATGGATCAGTTTTTCGCCAATCCATTGCTGGAGGAAGATCTGCTTCCACCGTCAATTTTCAGAGGATTTTTACTTCGCCCTCGAACACAGGCTAATATTGCAGCTTCTGGACAATCCGAAGTGAAGAACGACGAAAAGCAGTTTCAAGTCGCATTGAACGTCAGTCAGTTCAAACCAGAAGAAATTGAAGTAAAAATCGTAGACAACTATGTGGTGATTCATGGCAAGCACGAAGAAAAGAGTGATGAACATGGATTCGTTTCTAGAGAATTTACTCGTCGGTACATGCTACCGCACAACTGCGAGTCAGAGACTGTTACATCTTCCCTTAGTCCAGATGGAGTGTTGACTATTAATGCACCCAAGAAAGCTATTGAACCTCCACCGACACAAGAAAGGAAGATCCCAATTGCAAAAGAAAAATAGGACTGTGCGCCTCTTTTTTGTAATTGCAGAAAAATTCTTCATTAGTTCGTGACTCTTCATACTGTGTGACATGGCATACAGGTTATTTCTCTGATGTTTGGAAGAATTTGATTGTAACATTAATGAATTTCACCCTTTCATGTTCAAAACTTTGTGCCTGGAGGACATTTATGCGAGTAGTTCTTGCTATGTTAATTTACTATTTTGTAAACAGTGTTTAATTGCAAAATTTAAGGAATTCTATAGTGTTGTTCCATAGTTTTGGATAAATGTTATGAGGTAAGAAATGTTATTTTCAATAAAAATGTTTAGTATGTAAGAAGTGTCTATTATTGTGTTATGTTAATTTTAGTGTGACTGTATTAACTGCAAGTGTTTTAATGCAAGGAAATTGTTGGAAAGATGAAGAAAAATTGCAGAAGTTAATTGAGTTAAATTGTTATAAAAAATAAGCTGGTTAGTGGTAATGGGTCTAGATGTAATACTTTTTTGATGTTCAAGTTGTAAAAGTTTTCATTTGTAATGAAAGTGAATTGGGAATAGAGTACCAGAAATAAATAATTTAGGTATTGTAGTATTACAACAGGAAAAGGTATGTCATTATTTTCTAAGTAAGCGGAAATAAATGTGAAAATAATGTGTATTAAATATCCTGGAATTAATCTATAATCTGTATTGACAAACTAGTATTTATTATGAAGGCTTGAAATTAGCTCCATATATAGTCTTAGGTTCATAGCAGTCATTTATGAATTGTTAGAAATTTATGTAGTAGTTATAACCACAATTCAGTTTATCCATGAAGGTAACAGTTGATGAAATGCAAATAGTTATAACAAATAGCTTTAATTTTTTTTTTTTTTTTTTTTTTTAAGTGTTGGTAGTGTAGCAGTCTTTTACAGTGTGCAGTCCTGAAGTTATGAATGGTGAGGGAAGATGCAATTTATTTTGTTAAAGGATTTGAAGGGCAAAATGCATGGGAAGGGATTTTATTAGATGGAGAAAGTGAATGATGTAATTTTTTTTTTTTTAATTCATGAGTACTTTTTGAGGGAAAAAGTAATGTGTTGATAGTATGTTTGTCATTTATAAATCTATCAGGTGACAGAGAAGAGATAAAGTCATCTAAAAGAAAATTAAAAGCTGTTGACTAATCATAGTATTGGTTTAGAAATAGTATTATTTAATGATTGTTATGTAATCTAAGAACATAAGTGTGTGTGGAGGGAATTTGGTCTGCACAAATTTCTAAATGTATTTGCTACTATGGGGGAGTGCTAGTTGATATTCAATTTCTGAGGCTGTCATTTGATGAAAATAAACTGTCATGTGACTTTATGTCATAGCAAAATACCTGTATAATTCAAATATCCATGAAGTATGTTACAAGTTTTGCTCAGGTTCGAATTGCAGGTTCTGTTAATGATGGTACTTATGCATTAGCCAGTACATTAACTAAAATAACCTAGCTTTGTGTTCTGAGAGTCTTTTTAACTGTTCTAGTTTCATATAGGAAGATGAGATTTTTAGTTGTTAAGAGAGTGGGGCTTAGTATTTTTTATTTCACTTTTTACTACAGGTCTAGTATGTATTTGCAAAGAGTTTCTTTCTTTTGCTAATGCTTTCCTGGATAAAATCATTGGGATGATGTCTGCCTGGTAAGTAATACGTGACAGATATAATAAATAAATAAAAACTGCACTGACAAAAACTTATAAATTATTATTGGATAATTATAATTAAGTATGAGTTAATTAAAATATAAAAAGTATTACTTATAAATTATTATTAAGTATGAGTGGATATTGGCTAATAAAGAAGTGCCATTACTAAAATAATAGTGAATGGTTTATAAATTATTATAGAAGTATGAGTGAATATTGGCTAATAAAGAAGTGCCATTACTAAAATAATAGTGAATGGTTCTATAAGAATAACAATCTTTCAAATTGCTTGACTGTTTCTGGTGGTGCTTTCGTTCATGGTGTTTGTGACTTTTGTTGCTCATCAAAATCATGTTTTCGCTATATTAAACGAAATGTGAAATTTTAGGTAGTTTTATATGCATATTTAGTAAGCAGATTGATGTTTCTTTTCAAATCAGTAGTAGGAAGAAAAAATTTTCAGGAAGGGTTGTTGTAAAGGTTTTTACAATACAAAGTCCATAATCCGGACGTCCATGATCCAGAATGATCTATAATCCGGACCTCAAAGCCACAAAATTTTTTTTTTTTTTGTATGCTTTACGCATGCGCATTTAATGTAAAACGGATGGTATAAGCTAGGCTAAAATTATCTTTACTGATTCTAAGGCATTTCATGGTGAGGACGATGAAGATGATAGCCGTGAATTTGAAGGCTTACAGACATCGCAAACCAAAGGTGGACTCTAGTGTAGAATTGGGTGTCCCTTCGATTAGCGACAATTTTTTGTAAAATTTTGGCGATGAAATCTCATTTCTGGTTACCATGATAGTTTAACTTTGCTTTAGCCTCCTGAATTTTTTAAAATAAAAATAGATTGATCAAATTTAAAGCAGTGTGCAATGCCTAGTTTGTGTAATTCTGGGATGTTTTTTTGAGTAAAAACAGATCGATGTGTACATGGACACAGAGTTTATGCAATTCTTTGATTTCTTATTTTGGTTTTGTGTAGCGGCCATCTTGAAATTGTATCTTCTTGGCGTCAAAAAAGAATTGCCAAAAAACAAGGGGCGCCTAATTGTAAATTCTTACCAGCCAAAGGTGAAATTTTCCAGTTATTGGATTTTGTAAAAAAATGTGGAGAAGAGGTAATAAATGAAGATGATATAACAGAAGTTTTTCATTGTGAGGAATTAATGGGTGGCGAAATCTGTAAGACCCATATCACACGGTGTTTGTTTCATACGAACAACTGTCTCGGACAATTTTTCTGCCTGGTTTACTGTTGAAAGAAAGACGTGCGACTTTTTCCTTCCTTTTTGAAAAAGTTGCAAGTTGTTCGTTTTTAACCAATCAGCTATCAGTGCCGAATGCTGTTAGCTCGTTTGTAATGGACAACCAGTTTTCCCTGTGTTAACCCCCAAACGAGCTGTGGTGATTGGCTGTTGTGACAAAGCAGAAAAATTGTTCCAAACAGTTGTTCTTTCGAAACAAACTGATGTGTGATAGCAGCCTAATATGGCTGGTTCTAGATCCAGAAAATACCGCTTCCGATAGTGAAGAAAGTGACAAAAAAATTTTGATTGACAAGTTAGTTGGTATTCTCGACACAGCAATTACAGGACTTGAACAGTGGAACTTTGTAACTGAACAAGAAATTATGTCTGTTTATAGAATTAAACAGAAAGTATTAGCACAAAAAACGAAACAACTTATATTGAAAGAAATGTTTAATAAAGTAAAAAAAAAAAATAATTATTAAGCTTTTTTTTTGTAAATTTTGATACCCTTTAGATCATAATTGGTCATAAATTACGGTTTCATATTTTTAATTGTATAATTTCTGCATGGCATCTTACCAGATTTAAATTGACGGTCTATAATCATTAAAAACCCCTAATCCAGAATCGCCGAAGTCCCGAAGAGTCTGGATTACGGACTTTGTGCTGTAAATAATTTACATATTATTTTACATAATGCTTTCTGCAGATTAGAACATTTGAAATAATGGTCTGAATTTACAATGAAAATCACTAAATACAATAGAATATCTCTTAAGCAGCAGCAATGGCACCTTGCCAGTTCTACTTAAGAGATTTTTCAGTGTAATTAAATATGTTTTTGGAACTTCCCTGTTCATGGTTTTGATTCTATCTGTGAACATTGCAGTATGCTAAGTATTTTAGTCCAAAGGGGCTTTGTCCCTGAAAGACTGTTGTTTTCATTCTGCGATTTTGCGTTGAATCATTATAAACGTGAATCACTTTTTAAACTGTTGCCACCAAATGTTAGAGTCCTGCATTATATTTGAAGAAATTAACTAATGAAAAATCTGCATAAATGTATGTCTATTTCTCGCATTGTGATGAAACAACAGTACATAGAGCCATCGAATTTTGAATGACGTAATCCTCCTACGAATATGGGCATGTGGAAGACCAAATTTAGAATTTGTTTTATTTTCATGTTGGGGGGGGGGTGCTTGTTACGACTCCTATGGCTATACTGTTCTACCTACTACAGCATTTTCAAGTAAATAAGAATTATTATGTGATCAATATATTGTGTTAATGGCAATTATTTTAATATAATAATAATTAGATTATGAATTTTATTAATAAAATTATGTAACATAATTATGGATATACTAATTATCTTATTTATAATTAGTACTTGGCAATCATATTACACACGTAACTCAATATTTCTGTTTTTAAATTAATTAAACATTTATTAAAATATTAAAAGAATTACGAAATTCATTTTATTTTGGTTACATAATACAACTATAAAGATAAATAAATACATAACATTCATATTTCTGTTGTATATAGTAAAGATATTGAATTAAATACATAAAAGTTGTAAATAGATAATTTATTTTGGACATGAAATTAAATTGCAAATAAAAATTAAAAAAGAAAGGCAAACATTTTTCTGGCCTTTCATTTTGGTTCGGCGTTTAAAATATTCTCGAATTCCACTTTCCGTGGCTGTAAACTGGCAAATATATCAATAATTTTGTCAATATTCTTTTGGTATAATGTTCCTTAATACCAAAGAATTTCTGCGCTCTTCCGTCATAGTACCTCTATTATAATTTTCTAACCTTTTCAAAGCACGTGCGGAACGTTAACATTCGCAAGATATTATCAGCAGTGTATCTGCTGTGTGCAAAAGCACACAGCAGTATTTGGTAAAAAGATTTTATTCGAAGCTTTTAAAACCAAAACTGGTGTGCCTGGGAGCTTTGCTTTGGGAATAGACATAAAATGCCATTGCCAATGTTTCGTCTCTTCTTTTAGAAGTTCCGGAGAAGGTAAATCATCTTTATATATCACCTTCTAAGGCATTTGTCTCGTCTTCTTAACATGCCTTCGTGGTGTAATGGTCAGCATGCTCGGCGCGTATTCAAGAGTACAGTGATTCGAGTCCCAGCAAGGGCATGACTCATTTTTATCTGTCCTGCTTTAAAAAAATACCTAATGTCTCCATAGTGGTGCCTTAACTAAAAGGTGGTGAATGATGATTCTTCACTACCAGGATTTGGCGATTGGGTCCCCAAAACCTCAGTCGCCCTTTAAAAGGAAGAGTATATAAGGTATTTCTCCTGCCTTCTTAGCAAGCCTTCGCAGTGTAGTGGTCAACACTCTCGACGTGAATTCGAGAGGTTCG